TTCTCACCAAGTAAAAATAATTTCCTACCGAAAGTTGTCAAAATATACCCAAAAGTGTTATTTCCCTATATAAACTATAGTAAACTTTACCCCCTCCCCAAGGGAGAACGGATAGCTCGGGGGTCCTGAAATTTACAATTTAAGTAAAGCCCGTGATGATCTTTCTTTCCACGTAGAGAAAATCACTGTAGTACCTCTGAGTCTGGAAAAGAAGATTTTTGAAATATTGATTAATTTTCCCTTTGGGGCCCCGCCCTGGCCAGGGGTTGGGGTAGGAATCCCAATTTTACATTTTGAAGCCTCATCTACCAAGCATGATTCTGACCAAGTTTGAAAAAAATCCATCCACTGGTTCTGGAGAAGAAGTTGAAAATGTAAAAGTTTACGCGCGACGGACGACGGACGGAAAGTGATTGGAATAGGTCACTTGAGCAAAGCTCAGGTGACCTAAAAATGTACCACACGATTGGAGTTTATTGTTTGTACTACAGTATCCGGGAATCTGAGGGTAACAAACTGGTGGCAGCGGTAAAGAATTTTTATCAAGTTTGGGACTCCGTTATTATTTAACGATAACAGAACAAAATGCCTACAGGAACAGGAGATGGAGAGACTGCCGATGCAGCTCAAGAGTTATCAGCTGCTCAGTCGAAAGTAGAGATAAGAAAGCTTGAACTTCAAGCTGAAGTTGAAAAGGAAAAGATTCAACTAGAACGAGAAAAGCTACAACGTGAAGCAGAAGCAGAACGAGAAAAGCTGCAAAGTGAAGCAGAAGCAGAACGAGAAAAACTACAGATAGAAAAACACCGCCTTGAAAGGGAAGCTGAACGGGAAAAAGTTGAAGCAGAGCTGGAGCTTAGAATGATGGAGTTAGAAGTTAAGAAACTTAAACTGGAAAACAAAACCAACAGTTCCGTACCATGCAGGGTAAAACTTCAACCCTACAACCATCAGGCAGGTGAGGACATAATAACATACATTGCCGAGTTTGAGGCTTTGTCTTTACAAGCTTGGTGGACTATGGACATAAAAAGACTTCGCCCCTGTGAGGAAGGCTTTGGGTTCTGTCCCCTGGCCGAGACATACCAAAGTCTTTAAAAATGGTAGTTTCTACTCCTGCTTAACGTTCAGCAAATTAGGAGTGGGACGACTGGTTCACCGTTCTTCGGCAGTATGTTTCAGTGGGGTAGCACTATAAAGTCGGCATCAGTTCCGCGCTATCACAAGGAGACAAACACGAACATATCGCAGCCTCCCAAAATACACACACATACACTACACGCATGCATCTTGCACACAGGGGAGGCCGTCCTTAAATGACCTTAGCTGTTAATAGGACGTTAAACAAAATCAAACAAACAAACAGAAATTGTCAACCAGCAATCGGAGGGAATGGGCAACTTTGTTACCTTACGCGCTGTTCGCGTACCGGGAGGTGCCTCATGAGGAAACTGGGGTCTCGCCATTCGATATGTGGTCCATTCCAGATTTTAGAGAAGGCCATGGCAGGTGAGGCCGAGATACAGAGAAACATCGTAGATCATGTGGTAAATATGCGCGAACGACTGGCCGAAATCCGAGACACAGCGCGAGAGACACTGGTCATAAAGAGACAAAAAATCAAACAGTGGTATGACCAGAACGCAACACAAAGGGAACTTCGTCCCGGCGATGAAGTATTATTACTACTGCCCTCGGATAGCTCCAAAATGGTAGCTCAATGGAAGGGACCTATCACGTCATACGGAAGGTAAACGATGTTAACTACGAGATAAGCGTAGGCGGTCGTCGAGGGAGAGTCGTGTATCACATAAATCTACTCCGAAAATACAACCGAACAGTACCTCAAATAGGGGTTTGTACAGAAACAAACAAACCTTGATCCAGCAGTTAAGTTGGTGATAGTATGGATGAAATCACAGATGTCAAGTTAGGTGCAGGCCTGAACAGGTCACAGCGTTGTGAATTACGGAAGCTTTGTGAGGACTTTCGATATTTCATCAACTCAGAACCAGGAAAAACATCTCTCGTGTCGCATAGCATCAAGCTAACAAGTGAAAACCCCATAAGGCAACAACCATACCGTATTCCTTAGTCAAAACGTGGGGAGGTGAAAAAGATGATTGATGACAAAAGGGTCAGATATCTCCATCAGCAAGCCCTTATTCAGCACCGGTAGTACTCGTTGAAAAACCGGACAAATCAATTGGACTGTGTGTGGACTATCGCAAATTGAATGAGATCACACAATTTGACGGATATCCTATTCTGCGAATAGATGACATATTTGAGAAACTTGGTCAGGCGAAGTATTTGAGTACCATGGATTTAGTCATGCCATTCGGGATGAAAACGGCGCCGCAACTTTCGCGCGTATGATGGATAAAACGCTGAGAGGACTGCCAAATGTTGTCGCATATTCTAAGTGTACTCTTGGTGAGGAGGAATTGTACTGTCTAGGTCATGTTGTCGGCCATGGCTCAGTCAAACCAGACGAACGGAAAATAAAAGCAATGCTCGATTTTCCACTTCCACAGTCCAAAAAAGGAGTAAGATCGTTCCTTGAATGACTGGATACTACAGAAAATTTGTCAAAGACTACGCGCGTATTGCGGAACCATTGACAAACATGTTAAAATCAAAGGAGCCAACGAAAGTAGCCCGGACAGAGAACCATGTAAAAGCATTCAGGGAATTGACACGTGCACCAGTTTTAATCAACCCCGACTTTAGAATGCCATTTTATCTCCAAACAGACGCGAGCAATACAGCGATAGGGGGAGTTTTGAGCCAAAACGTTGGTGAGGATGAACATCCAGTCGCGAACACGAGTCGCAAGTTACTCCCATGCGAGGTTAACTATTTAACGATAGAAAAGGAATGCCTAGCGTTTGTATGGAGTATTGAGACATTTAGTTATTACTTAAGTGGTGTGCAGTTTACCGTGGAGACTAATCACAACCCTCTAGTTTGGCTAGAGAAAACCAAACTAAAAAACCAGAGACTGATGCGATGGGATTTAGCATTTACAGACCTATTGTTTCGAAATCCGTTATAGGAAAGGTTCGAACAATGCTAACGCGGAAGGGTTATCGCGCATCGAGTGAAGAAAGATGAATTTCAACTTTATGGATATGTACTCCAGTGTAGTGATGAGTGTGGACAGTTCAAAACAGTGTAGTAAACTTCTTGTGTAAATTCATATAGGATTAAATGTCAGTCATTCATAAAAGTGTATAGACTGTGGAGATTTAATTGGACATGGACAGTTGATCTGGCAATTAATCAGTTGTTAGCAGAACAGTGTGTGAATTACTTGATTATGCTCTAAATACCTTGTACCACTGAAGTTCATCTTCAGGGGGGAGGTGTTAAGAGTGAAATAATGACCTGAACGTCAAGTAGTAAATTAATTGCTGTTTCAGTTATCTTTCAATTATACGCGGTCTTGTGACTACTGTGTGTTTATGTAGAGAAATGCTATGCTATTTCTGAAACAAATAGGTGTTTAAATAAATCCCGCTTTATATATGTCAACTATATTGATAGAACTCCTGTGTTCAGATATACATACAAGAGGCCCAAGGGCATAAGCGGTCACCTGAGTTATATCATAGGTAGTGGTAGCTTTATTTTATTGTTAAGATGTGATGTAGAAATCAGCATGTAAAACTAAGTGAAATGCAATACTTGTCATATCATCAAAGGATAAGATTTTTAAAATATTGGTAAATGTTCCATTTGGGGCCCCGTCCTAGCCCCTGGGGATGGGGCAGGAATCCCAATTTTACAAAGTAATACTCTCATTCACCAAAGATGATTCTGACTAAGTTTGAGTAATTTTCTGCTGAAAATGGATAAAATATATACCAAAAGTGTTATTTCCCTATATAAACTATATTAAACTTTACCCCCTCCCCAAGGGAGAACGGATAGTTCGGGGGTCCTGATATTTACAATTTAAATAAAGCCCCTGATGATTTTCTTTCCATGCAGAGAAAATGAATGTAGTACCTATGAGTCTGGAAGTGAAAAATTTGGAAATATTGGTTAATTTTCCATTTGGGGCCCCGCCCTGGCCCCTAGGGTTGGAATAGGATTAACAATTTGAAACCATCTTCCTCCAAGGATAATTCTCACTTGTATTTTCTAACAAGAGGCCTTAGCGGTCACCTGAGTTATATCATAGGTACTGGTAGCTTTATTTTATTAGTGTAGATGTAGTACCTCTGAGTCTGGAGAAGAAGATTTTTGAAATATTGGTTAATTTTCCCTTTGGGGCCCCGCCCTGGCCCCAGGGGTTGGGGTAGAATTCTCAATTTTACAATTGGAAACCATCTTCCTCCAAGGATAATTCTCACAAAGTAAAAATAATTTCCTACAGAAAGTTGTCAAAATATACCCAAAAGTGTTATTTCCCTATATAAACTATAATAAACTTTACCCCCTCCCCAAGGGAGAACGGATAGCTCGGGGGTCCTGAAATTTACAATTTAAGTAAAGCCCTGATGATCTTTCTTTCCAAGTAGAGAAAATGAGTAGTACCTCTGAGTCTGGAAAAGAAGATTTTTGAAATATTGGTTAATTTTCCCTTTGGGGCCCCGCGGGTTGGGGTAGGATTCTCAATTTTACAATTTAAAACCATCTTCCTCCAAGGATAATTCTCACCAAGTAAAAATAATTTCCTACAGGAAGTTGTCAAAAGATACCTAAAAGTGTTATTTCCCTATATAAACTATAGTAAACTTTACCCCCTCCCCAAGGGAGAAAATCAACGTAATATTAAAAGATTGTAAATAGTGTAAACATCGAAGGATTGCACATCGTGGCTGTGTTTACATATCGGTAATGATTCTGGCTTCAGGAGAACACAAACTCCGTTTGTGTTATCTAGACAATTTCAAATAAGTCTTAATACATTCATTATTTGATAATATTTCTAACCAGATTTTCAAATTGAGGTTGTTACAAAACTTGCAATGTTTGATCATTTAGCTCTGAAAATACCGGTTTCTAAAAATAAACAAGTTAAAAGGGCGGCTTTGATGTACGAGGGTTATTTCTTTCATGACACATTAGAACACGAACTCCTTTTTTATTAATTATTCAATTTCAAATAACATCTTAAGATATGAATTATTTAATAATATTTCTAACCAGGTTCTTAAAATAAGGTTGTTACAAATCTTGAATTCAAGCAAGATTGTATTTTTTTTGTCTTACAATTTACCTTTTTATCTTTTCAACACAACTTAAATTTATGTCATTACAATTCAACAACACATGTTCATCACACTACTGACATCATGTTCTTCCAATGAAAATGGGTTGCGCAAGGGTCATTTCAGAAATGCGTGCCAATTTCAAATAATCATATGAATATATTTAGCACCATTTATTATCAGTAAGACATATGTACAGAGTCCTTCAAAAACAATTATTAGCTGCTGCATTATCAAATATCAAATTATCAAAGCCTTTTCTGATGCTATAAAAAAAATGCATTATGAGACCAGGCATAACTACATACAAGAACATCTGATGTGTAGAAAAGCAGATTATTGTATCGTCAAATTGCTCGGAACCTTGCGGTTTTTAGACATGTTATTTTACATTGATATACACATTAATAACATACACGTATTACAAAACATCAGGTCGAAGTAAATTACAAACACGGCACAGTTTTATCGTTTAATTTGACATATTATCGAGTATAAAACAAACATGTATTTTAAAACACCTGGTCGAATAAATTACAAACACGACACAGCTTTATACAGATCTATCGATTATGTATCAAAGATGTATTACAAAACATCAGGTCATAGTAAACTACAAACACGGCACAGGTTTTGACATATTAATCAAATGTTTAAAACATGTATTTTAAAACAACTGGTCGAAGTAAATTACAAACACGGCACAGTTTTATAGTATAATTTGACATTTTAATCGAGTATGTACATAACAAACATGTATTTCAAAATACCAGGTCGAATTAAATGACAAACACGGCACAATTCAAGTATGTATTTATCAAGTATTTCAAAACACCAGGTCGAAGTAAATTACAAACACGGCACAGTTCGAGTATGTAACAAACAAGTATTTCAAATCAACTGGTCGAAGTAAATTAAAAACACGGCACAGGTTTTGACATATTAATCAAATGTTTAAAACATGTATTTTAAAACAACTGGTCGAAGTAAATTACAAACACGGCACAGTTTTATAGTTTAATTTGACATTTTAATCGAGTATGTACATAACAAACATGTATTTCAAAATACCAGGTCGAATTAAATGACAAACACGGCACAATTCAAGTATGTATTTATCAAGTATTTCAAAACACCAGGTCGAAGTAAATTACAAACACGGCACAGTTCGAGTATGTAACAAACAAGTATTTCAAATCAACTGGTCGAAGTAAATTAAAAACACGGCACAGTTTTTGACATATTAATCAAATGTTTAAAACATGTATTTTAAAACAACTGGTCGAAGTAAATTACAAACACGGCACAGTTTTATAGTTAATTTGACATATTAATCGAGTATGTACATAACAAACTTAACATGTATTTCAAAACACCAGGCCGAAGTAAATGACAAACACGGCACAGTTTTATAGATTCAATTTGACATCTAAATCGAGTGTTTAATAAAAATAGTATTTCAGATCATCAGGCCGAATAAAAGTACGAACACGACACATTTATTTAGATATATTTTTATTACAAATCG